TTAATCACCGGGGAGGAATGTGGCCTTTGTGTGTGCAGAATGCAACGGATCTTCCTGTCTACAGACAACTTTCCACAACAAAAAGCGCACAAACCTGCAGTTGCAAGGCAACTAAATACCCCCAATTTACATTGCTATCCCTACCTCACGTGAAAGGCTCCTATTGTTTCTCTCCAACAGTTTACTAAGAATTACCACAGTTTTACTGCCACATAATTGTACCAGTTTTATATGTTGCTTCTTAGAAGGAATTAAACCAAACAGACTGCACAAGAAAGGGAAAGAAGTAAGTAGAAAGACGTAAGAAAGAAAGAAAGTAGCAAGAAAAAACTAGTTGCTAGCTCTTTTTCTTTTTTAGTATGAAAACAAGACCAGTTTGATACAACTGTCACAGAGAGCACAACATGCCAACTAGGCTTTGGATGCAGTCAAACACTCCAGGTAATATCCCCTCCTACGGAGATGCCAACTGTGGGTGAGGACCCATCTTTCCAGCACGGAGTTGATGCTGCAGTTTCAGCCACAGGCGCTGACTAGAACAGAAGCCTCCACTCTTTGCTCCACAATGAGAGTAACAGACAGTAACAGACAGGCTCCCAGTCAGCACCAYAACGTGGTGCAGGTGTCTTGTGCACCCGCCACGCTCTGGTCCTGCTGTTAACATCAGGACCACCTGGTAACCTGGAGGCTTTGGCTGGTGTCGGCGCTGCTGCTCGGACTGCCAAGCAGCCTCCAGCTCCCTGTGCTTCACTCTACAAGTGCCAACAGATCCACAGTCCCCTGAAAATTAAAGGAAGGACTGTGAGGTGACACGGAGATCCTTCCATGACGCCTTGGTTCTCACAGACCACCAAGGATCAGCGGAACAAGACTTATGCATTCAGTGAGTGAGGAGCTCAAGGCGGAGAGGCCAGTGCAGACAAGCACCTCCTGAACCACGTGCAGCGTCTCCTGCTGCCCCTGCCCCGCAGGACCGGAGCTCGGCACAAGCAGGGTCCATCCCAYGAGCAGCGCTACCGCAGCAGCGGGCAGCGCTTCTTAACGGGGCACCGATCCCCACCGCTGCTCTGCAAGGGCTGCTCAGCCCTAGCCCTGCATACCCTGGGCAACGTTTCTGCTGGTTCCCGTTGCCCTGACTGCCCTTTACAGCTGTSAACAGACTAGGACCTGACTTTGACTCACTGAATCCTTACCACACAGTCAGTGCAGTTCTCAAGCCAAGATAGGGGACGAGACCAGATTTGTCTGTTTGGGTCTAATCGACTCTTTATGCTGCAGGGATAAATGCTGAAGTTGGCAATACTGGACCACATTGCTCCCTTACTGTTACACTTGCAGTCACAACCTGTATTTTATGTAAACCACATTTCTGATTTATTGTTTTAGAAGATGTAATCACTTGGATACCAAGTTATCTCAATACCCTCTCCTCCATATAAAAACAGCTGAATCCTGATAACACCAGCTGTGATTTTCAGCTCTTGCATCTGCAAACTGCCTCAAAGAACCTCCAGCAACGCTGCAGCCTTCGCTTTCATTAATAAAACAGACGCATCTAGCAGCAGCCCTGGCTTGTTTGCCTGAGATAAATCTATGCAGTGAACCTGAGTGTGTCCAAAATCAAGCATCCCCTGAATRCCTTCGGTGTCAAAAAGCATTTCTGAAGCTAGACTGCATGTGTATCTTTATAAAAACCCTTAGCATCTCTTCTAGAGAAAAAAAAAGAAAAGAAGGCACTAAAAGCAAAGCTGATGCAATATAGGTGCAGGCTGCCTATTCTCCGATAAGTTGTAGCTGAAGGTACTGATAACGCAACACCAGTAAAACGTTTAGGAAGACATTTTAGGTGCTTCTCTCGTTGCTTGGGCRCCTAACCCACTCCGAGCCGAGGGCGGCCCTGCCCGCTCCCGCTGCGGACGCCCACGCCGGTTACGAGGTGTCTGTGCGTGGGACGGGGCGACCCTTCCTGCTTCCGTGACGGGTCCCCGGCCCCCAGCGCCCCGGGGCAGCCCCGCGCCCGGGCCCCAGCAACGGCCGCCCGCGCCACGTGACGGGCGCGCGCCACGTGCTGCGCGGGCGGCCAATGAGCGCGCGCGGCGCCCCGCCCCGCCCCGCCATGCCGCGCGCCGCGGCGGTGCCGGGGGCAGCGGCGGCGGCTGCCGCGGCCCCGGGGCCTGCGCGGGGCCCGGGCCGCCAGCGGCCTCCCCGCCTCGCGGCCTCCTCCTTCGCGCGCCCTCTAGGCGCCGTTGGCGCACGGCGGCTCGCGCAGCGCGGCCTGCGTACGGGCCAAGCAACGGCAAGTTAAGGACACGGCCCGCCCCGCTTTCTGCGCTACCACCGCTATAGACCAATAAATATATTTAGGTATAGGTGTCTGTAAAGGCGTCGCAGCGGCCCGCCGGGCAAGGCGGCCGGCGGGCCCCGCGCTCTGCTCCGGGCCGGGGCTCGGCGGCGCCCGCAGCAGGGCCGCGTGCGGGGGCGCGGCGAGGCGCCCGCGGCCTCCAACGGCGGCGGGAGGAAGGGGCAGAGCGCGGCGCGCGCACCCCGGCCGCTCGGGCAACACGCGGCAGCTCCGGCTACCTAGAAGAGCGATACAGGGGCACGGGGCGCCTCGCCCCCCMCCATCCCCGCCACGGCGGCGGGGCAGCGCCGGGCCGAGCCCCGCAGGCCGCCGTGCCCTCCCCTCCGCTCCGCTCCGCCGGGCCCGCACCTGGCTCCAGGTGATGAGCTGGTTGCTGGGCGCCTCGCCCACGAGCGCCCACAGCTTGCTGAGGAAGGCGGGGACCCCCGCGCCGGCGGCGGGCGGCGGCGGCGGCTGCTGCGGCTGCTGCTTCATTGTCGCGCCGGAGCCTCCGCGGTCTGGGCGGGGGGGACACGG